TGGAAGTGTTTACTTCACTTGTCGGAATTTTGTCTGTGATATTGTTGGCACAAGGAGGTTAGTGTGACAACTTTGGAGGTTTTGTATCTTTCACAATGCATACCTCTCATTTGTTGGTTGGAAATGGAAGTAAGGGTTGTACAATCAGATCTCGACTTCATTTAAAAATATGTCGAAAATAGATACTTCCCTTTATATTGAACTGCGCGCGGTTGGGAGGCAATAGTAGGATGTTGTAAATAGTTGAACTCGTATACTAGAGTTTTTCTATCAGGGAGTAGTTTGCTCGTTCTGTTTTCTATGTGGGAAGAAAGGCGATTTTTGGAGAAAGGTCAATTTTACTTATTACATTGACTTTTAGAAGATTGTGTTCACCTCTGAATTAGCGTTACCAAATTATTAGTGCTGGGTGCATAGGAGTTTGTACGTATATTCTATGGCACTTGGAGGTATGTAGATCATTCCCTTGTCGACATAGGAGGATTACGTTGTTATTTAATACAACCTACGCATTGTATGATTATTGTGTTTCTTAAAATATAGGAACTCTATATACCACTTGGTATATTGGAGTTAAGTGGAGCCCTTATAGTGAGATTGCGTCTATTGGAAATATGGGGGTGTTTTTCACTCACAGTTTTCAAGCATAATGGAAGAAAGTAAGGGCGAATTCCGAGGACGGAATTCCTTTTATTAGGGGGGAAGAATGTAATACCCCTAATTTTAAAAGGATAGTCTCGGTATTTATTTATTTGTTTTAATTGTAAATTAAATGTTTTCTTTTCTTTTATTATTTTATTTTATTTTTCTTTTATGGTTATGGTTAGTAGTAATGGGCCAACCAATTGGGTCCCACGGACTACTTGGATAGGAGGTTGGATGTGTATAGATTATTACCCATGGATAATGTATGTATATATATAGATATATATTATATACATATATAAAAAGGAAAGTAATTTATTAATTATTTTTATGGTAACTTGGGTAGTAATATTTAATCTGATGTATATGTTTTATATTTAAATAATAAAAATATGTATAGATTTGATACGTGTTATGTTTTAAGTTACTTTATAATATTATGGTAACTTAAGTATTATTGGATAATCCATTAATAAATAATGGAATGTGTATAATTTATTTATTTAATAAACATATACATAAATTATATACGTAACATATTTTACTTACCTTTTTAATATATATATAAAAGAGAAAGTACTTTATTAATTACTTTTATGGTAATTTAGGTAGTAATATTTAATCTGATGTATATGTTTATTTAAATAATAAAAATATACATAGATTTGATACGTGTTACGTTTTAAGTTACTTTATAATATTATGGTAACTTAAATATTATTGGATAATCCATTAATAAATAATGGAATGTGTATACTTTATTTATTTAATAAACATATACATAAATTATATACGTAACATATTTTGCTTACCTTTTTAATATTTTTATTTTCATTTTTTTTAGTTGACTTGGATTGGGAAAAGGGTTAGGGTTATTTTATTTAACCTATAAATATATAGCTATAGGTTGTAAAAGAGGGTTAGAAATATTCACGTGATATATACTGGAGAGATAGTGTTAGAGAGGGAAGGAGGAAAAGGAAGGAATGAGGAGAAAAACCCTATAGAGAGAAGATCAAGGAAGAAGAAGTTTAACTTTCGATCCGAAAGTTTAAGGCAAGTTCCTCTTCTATCTCTTTTCCTTTGATTCGTGTTTCTGTACATGCCTAGGAAATTCCAAAATTTATTAAACACATAAAATTAAATAATTATGCATGTTTAATTGGGTTAGAATATAAGTTTTATGAAATTGGTTCATATCTGTTCTTGTGTTATGAATTGATAAAATGCATGATTTTGATTTGATTTCTTATGTGAATTTTTACATGTTTAAATTATGTATTTTTCATATCTGTAGAAGATGGAACGTAGAAACATGCCTAAGATTCCTGAATATTAAAGAGGGATTAGGTTTGGATTTTAATAAATTTAAATAGACTCAATCATAATGATGCTTGCTATTTGAATGTTTTAAACAAACGAATGGATTTAATCTTTTAACATATTTTAACAATTGAGATTAAATGTGTAGGATGAATTGGATATGGAGAATCTTTATTTAACGGTATAATAAAATATCATCATGTATAAGATTCAGTTTGTGTAGGACATATGATATAGGAAGTTTAAAGAAATAATAAGTCATTCCTATTATGTGATAACTTGATATCATATTTATCATAGTTATTTATGGAATGTTTGATGTATTTCCTTAATTGTTACATCAATTGTTGGATTGTGTGGTTTAATGCACCGGTATGGGACGGTGGCATTCTAGTGATGGATTAACTTATTAGTTAAGTCCTACCTATTTTATATAAGGGAATGGATTAACTAAAATGTTAAGTCCTACTTATATTTAAGTCAGGTCAACTGAACAAGTTGAATGACTTATGGATGATTAATTTATTATATAAGGGAATGGATTAACTAAAATGTTAAATCCTACTTATATTCAAGTCAAATCAGCTGAAAAAGTTGAATGACTTATGGAGGATTAATTTATACTGGATAGGACAGTTACTAGATTTTATATATATAAGTATGGTACCATGATATAAGCTTGAATCTCAGGATCAATGGTTAGGGCGCGTATATCGCCAGGGATGTGTAGCTAGATATAGTGTAGTTGTGTACCCTGGTAGGTCTAGGTACTCATGCCCACTATATGTGCATTTTGCATGTTGCCTACTATTCAGGTTGAGACAACCCTATAGTCTAGTGAGGTTCCTTTAGTGTGTATATATATATATACGGACTACTAGTTACTGTTGGATTGACTAGGATGTATACGTGTATCGGATCTCTGCTTGGACTGTAGTAGAGTAGAACTTGTTTGTGGGCCTGACCCACCATTATTTTTCAGGTGTTCGTCACGAGTAGAGGTTGTTTGTGCTGAGCGGGGATCAGTCTACTTCATTCTTCCGATACTACATAGGAGTTCCTTTATGATTCAGTTTCCTGTTTTAGATTACTGTCATTTGTTTAGTTTGGATTTTCTAGGGGTCCACACAGTATGGATTCCCGAGTTGTATTTTGGAGGATCAGTTGTATCAGAAGAGTTTATTAATTAATGGAAATATATTATGAGGTTTATAATTAGATTATCATTTTAGTTTCTTGTCAGCATTTTATTTATTCTTCTTTATTCTTTTGTACTCTGTGTTCGTTTATTATCAATTTGTTTTGATATCCTCGGGTATTCGGGCGTGGGCCTGGCCAGCCCACATTCGGAAATCCGGGGGTATCACAAGAACTGAGAAGGTTGGGAGTGAGGTGGTTGCAACTGAGATGATTGGGATTGAGATGGTTGGTATTGACAAGGTTGTAATTGGTAATGAGGTTGGAATTGGGGATATGGTACAGGTTGGTATTGAGTAGGTTGGAATGGGAAATAAGAGTATTGGGATTGAAATGGATTTTCGGATTGAAAAAACATTAAAGAATCCACATTATAATTGGATTGCGGTGGTAATTCAGAATTATGAGATTGGTTGAGATGGGGGTTATAGAATGGAGGTTGAGGATCCATATAGATGAATGTTAAAAAAAAATATTGAGAGAGAGAATTATTGAAGGTGAAAATTATTGAAGATGAAATATAGTATTTATAGGCTAAAAATATAACCGTTTATTACCGTTTGAATTTAATGGAACGTTTGGAAGTAAATTGAGCCGTTGCTGCCTTTTGCTTTTTTGCCTTCAATCAGATTCATTAAACAAAGGAAAAAAAGAATGGAGTATTCTCTAAAGGCAGCTCTATCTGTAGACAATAGCTTAGACAATGGCTGTAGGTCCCACAAGAGATATACTCCACTTCTTTCACCACACCGCCCATTTCTCTCTCCTAACTGACACATTTCTACTCTAAACATAATGCCGCCCCGAATGCTCTTAATCCTTCTGACTGACAATATATATATATATATATATATATATATATATATATATAATATACAAATGTAATATAAAAACAAATCAATACCCATGTGAAGAAATCAAAGTACAAAAGATTGGCCAAACAACTCCCCCGCAAAACATCATCACAATTTCTCTCTTTCCAGTAAACTCGGCTAGACCACTACTCCTTTCCATTTCGTACCTCCATCATAAATACAATACACATAAATATATATATAGAGAACAAAATTAAATCAAAATTCAAAACCCACTAATTTTAATAAATAATTAATTAATTTAGACAGTCTAAACATCATAAAATAATTAAATTAAAATCCTAAAAATTCGGGTCATCACAATTACTTACACCAAAGTCTTTCCTAATTTAATTGTACTCTGGTCATTGATGGTGACAATACCAATTTACAATGAAGTCTTGTAGAATATGAACACAAAATTTTCGACTTGGGGAAGAAATTGAAGTATTACTTACATTAAAGACTTTCCTAATTTAATTATACTCTGGTCATTGATGGTGACAATACCAATTTACAATGAAATCTTGTGGAATATGAACAGAAAAATTTTCAACTTGGGGAAGACATTAAAATATTACTTACACCAAAGACTTCCCTAAGTTCAACAGGCAAATAATTTAAGTGATGGATTAATATAGTTGTATATAAATCCCACAACTCAAACCAAACAGACTACTAGTATACTTTAGTTATAGAGACGGTGAAGTTTGAATACAAGGTATTTGACTTTGATACCATATTAATTACCATCTACTGATGTAATTTAAATATATAAATCATTTCGACAAGTCCCAATTCAATTTGTAACTCTAATTTGCAGGCTGTGTTTTTATCTTTGCACCAAACAATATTTACTACTTGGACAGAGTCATGGGTGTGATGGTTTATTTAAACTGCCATCATTACAGGTACTTTCACTCCTCATATTTATAAAACTTGAACTGCTATTGACACGCACACACTCTCTCTCTAGGCATCATGGAAAAGAAGAAGAATGTAATGTTGTTATTGCTTCTAATACAATCATTTGTGGCTTGCTTGGCTGTGTCCTCAACCAGCTTCACAGATGAGGAGGCACTTCTAGCCTTGAAAGCTCATATTACGTTTGATCCTAGCAACGTTTTGGCGACAAATTGGTCACAAGGTACCTCCTTTTGCAATTGGATTGGTGTATCTTGCAGCCGCAGTCGCCAAAGAGTGACAGCCTTGAATCTTCCCAATATGGGCCTTAGAGGTACCATCCCCAAAGAAGTTGGCAACCTCTCATTCCTAAGCTTCCTCGACATCAGTGAGAACAGCTTTCATGGCCATCTCCCTGATGAACTTGGTGGTTTGCGTTGACTAAAATCAATCAATTTTCGCTTCAATGAGTTTAGTGGTAAAATTTCAAAATTCTACTAGCTTGCCCAAATGTACTGAATTTCAAGATGTATCACTATCATTTAATGAATTTACAGGACAAATGCCTCAGGAAATAGGCAATTTATCGAAGCTCCAGTTGTTACATCCTCGTGGTAACAGCCTCACAGGTACAATTTCACCTTCACTTGGTAATTTGTCAATTTTAAAGATGCTACTACTACTGCGGTACTACCAGCCTTGTTAGGATATACAGTATCAAAATAAAACTATTTACAACAAATATACCTTCTCTTGCAGGTGAATTACCTGATACAATCTTCAACATCTCTTCACTTGTGATTCTTGATCTCTCCAACAATTCAATCTCTGGTGGTCCGCCCAAGGGTCTATGTCGCCGAAATCCAAGGCTTGAAGTCATTAGCCTTTCTCAGAACCAACTCACTGGCAATATCTCTTCTGGTCTGTCCAATTGTAAGGCACTTAAAGTACTCTCTCTATCGTTTAATAGTTTCACTGGCATGCCAATTGACATTGGTAACTTGTCTACGCTTCAACTTTTATATCTTGGTGAAAACAACTTGAAAGGTGATATTCCACCTTCAATTGGTAATATGTCCATGTTAGAGGTGATTGATTTGGTTGGAAACAATTTTCATGGTATTATTCCTTGGCAATTGGGGCATATCTCGAATTTGAGAAGGTTAAGCCTTGGTTCTAACAATCCTATGGGTGAAATACCATGGTCACTCTTCAACATTACTGTAATACAAAACCTTACCCTCGAAAATAATCACCTTTCAGGAACTCTTCCACCAAGTGCTGGCCTTTGGCTTCCAAATCTTCGTATTCTTTATCTCGCTAACAACAAAGTCAGTGGAAGAATTCCCAACTCAATTGCAAATGCATCCCAACTAATTGTAATGGATCTGTCCAGGAACTCGTTTATTGGTAGCATGCCCACAACTCTCGGGAATTTTGGCCACCTCCAATATCTCAATTAAGAACTCAATCAGTTGAAAAATGATCCATCCACACTTGAACTCAGTTTCCTCACTTCATTAACAAACTGCAGGCGTTTGGAAGCACTGCACATGGGATTAAATCCTCTAAATGGCATTCTTCCGAAATCCATTGGAAATTTCTCCAGCTCTTTTGAAGGAATGACTGCAAGTGCCTTCCAAATTAAAGGAATAATTCCTAGAGAAATTGGAAATTTGAGCAACTTGATTCTATTGGCCCTAGGAAGTAATGACTTTACAGGGTCGATCCCGGCTATATTTGGACAGCTACTGAAACTCCAGTTGTTAGAAATTGGTGGTACTGAAATAAAAGGCGCGATAACAAGCAAATTTTGTGCTTTAACAAGCTTGAGTGAGTTAAGGTTGCACAGCAATAAGTTTTCTGGATCAATTCCGAGCTGCTTTGGGAACCTTACTTCATTGAGAATACTCCTTTTAGATAACAATGCCTTAAGTTCCCAAATCCCATTGACTTTGTGGAACCTTAAGGATATCACTGTTCTGATATTGTCTTCTAATATTCTAACTGGTTCTCTACCTCCAGAAATTGGCAACTTGAAACATATTACACAGTTGGACCTATCGAAGAATCACTTCACTGGTAACATTCCAAACACAATTGGGCAACTTCAGAACCTGGTTAACTTCTCATTGTCAGAGAACAGACTACAAGGTCCTATACCCGAATCATTTTCTGATCTGATAAGTTTGGAATCCTTAGATTTATCGTGCAACAGTTTTTCTGGTGCAATCCCCAAGTCATTAGAGAAACTTTTGTATCTTAAGTATATAAATGTTTCTTTCAATAGACTAAGTGGAGAAATTCCAAGTGGAGGACCTTTTGCAAATTTCACGTACAAATCTTTCGTGCAGAATGATGGACTCTGTGGAGCACCTCGGTTCCATGTCAGAACATGTAGAAGCGCCAAAAAATCTTGGAAGACAGAAATTCTTCTAAAATATATCGTACCACCAATTGCCTCCGTGGTGGTTGCAATGGCTTTTCTGGTTGGGCTGCTAAGATGCAAAAAGAAAAGCAGGCAACTTCCAATCCAATGTGACTCACCACCTGGTGGAAAACACAGAAGGATATCACACCAAGAGATTCTTTACTCAACAAACTACTTCAGCGAAGACAATTTGATCGGTAAGGGAGGCATTGGTTCGGTATACAAAGGGATGTTCACTGATGGGATGGTGGCTGCTATTAAGGTTTTCAACTTGGAGCAACGAGGTGCATTCAAGAGTTTCGATGCAGAGTGCCAAGTAATGCGCAACATTCGCCACAGAAATCTTGTCAAAATAATCAACAGTTGCTCTAACCTCTATTTCAAAGCCTTGGTGCTAGAGTATATGCCTAATGGGAACCTTGACAAGTGGTTGTATTCTCACAACTATTGCTTGAATATTGTCCAGAGGTTGTGCATCATGATAGATGTTGCATCTGCACTAGAGTACCTCTATCACAGTTGCTCAACCCCTGTGGTGCATTGCGACTTGAAGCCAAGCAACATTCTATTAGATGAAGACATGGTTGCACACGTAGGTGACTTCGGCATAGCAAACCTCTTGATGGAGAACCAGTCAATGGCACAAACAAAGACAATAGGCACCATTGGGTACATGGCACCAGGTTTGTTCCATCTGAATCTTTGTTTTTTTTTTTTTTTGGTTAAGTTTGTCCTGGTATTTTACTTATTACTCTCTGTTACAAATTTATTAGTGTTTCTTTTTTTTATTAAATTTTTCTTTTTTTTTTCCTAGTTGGTTTACTTATAATACAAATGTTACAGAGTATGGTTCGGCTGGGATGGTCTCCGTTATGGCGGAAGTTTACAATTATGGAATTCTGTTGATGGAAACATTTACAAGAAAGAAGCCGATAGATGATATATTTCGCGGAGAACTGAGTTTGAAGCATTGGGTATGCGAGTCTTTCTCTAGTGAAATACTGGAGGTTGTAGATGCTAATTTACTAAGAGGAGAGGAAGAGAATTTTGCTGCCATAAAGATTGTTTGTCAGCCCTCTTGGGATTAGCTCTAGAATGCACGGCAGACTTACCCGAGGAGAGGGTTAACATGAATAATGTCTTAGCGAGGCTCAAGAAGATCAAAATCAAGTTTCTTGAGAACGTAACGAGGCCTGGAATGAAGCCACTGATCTAGCTAAGTTTCAGAACCAAGTACTTGGTTAGAGAAAAAATCTTCGTGTTTTGCTTTAGATGTTTCACAAATAAGCCTTTTGCATACTTCATCAACTATTTCTTGGCATTCTTGAAAAAGTTAGTGATACTTGTATTCACTTTCTTCAGATATTTGTATGACATGTGAGTCTGTGACTCCCCGAGAGTTATTATTTGTAGGCTTCTCTTCCTTTCAGTTAAATGTTTGCCACTTTTTTTTTTTTAATGTTGAATAATTGTGATATAGTCCATTTTCGTTCATATCATAAATGTGTAAAAGAATTAAAGCTATGTTTCGGAGCACGAGTTGCAATTGGAGGAAATTTTAGTTCAGAAACACCAATTTGGTGCTCTCAAATGCAACATGATTGAATTATGTATTGTTCAACCAGTTCATGACTCTTATGATGAGAAGGCTCTCTTGCTAGCATTACTCTTCTTTATACGATCAAGTTTTGATTCTCTTGGTGATAAGAATCTGAATACCATCCTTTTAACTGAAATGAATTTTGGGAGGAGGAACTCATATTGCAAAGCTTTCATGCGGAAGAAAACTCATTCCAAACTAGTTCCAACCTTAGCCAAAGCAACATCTAAATAGATTAATATTAATAAATTATCAAACTCATATTTTGAAAAATTTAGATTTTTTTGATGGGTATTCTTTGTTTGCTCAAATTTTGATTCTCTTGTAGCGATTGGAGTAAGTTTAATTCAAATGAAAACAACATGATGAAATTAGGGATGCAAACATGTAGATTTGGGATGAGTTAAAAATATTGCAACCTTTTTTGGTGCATAAGAAAACTCCTTTCGATAGTGGGCTTTTTTGTCTTTTTGACACTTCCCTAATTTTTGTTTAGGATTCAGTAGAGGAATTTCAGCATTTTTCATCATGATGTTAGTAATTTATTGGGACAGCAACTCAGAATCTAGTTCAAACGAGAGATCAAGGAGATAAACAATTGTAATGGCTTACCACTTGACCCAAAAAGGTAAGTTGGTTGCCATCAAACTACTTTACCTACTTGTCCATCCCTACCCCAACAACGGGAGGACCTTGTAACAACTGGGACACGGATCCAACCCATTGGATAGGCACTTGGCGTAACACCGAATCAAATACCGGGCCTACTCTGATACCACTTGTAATGGGTTAGGCACTTCCCATTCGACCCAAAAGCTTAAGTTGTTAGAAAATGCTACATACCCAGCTTTGTACGCCCAAAAGCCTCCTCATCAGGATCCAATGCAAGACAAGAACCCATAATAATAATCCACTATATGATAATGATATTTCATTTTTAAAAACCATAGTATTTTAGTAATTAGCGCAAATGTTTTAACTTTGAAGAAAGGTAACAGGAACCAAAATTAGCAATAACTAAAATTACTTTCAAAGTTCCGGTGAAATAATCTCGCAAAACTTCATTTCTTAAATCCAAGATCATGCTTTTGTGCTAGAATGTATAAACTAGTAATCAACTTTACGCATCTTAAACCGGCACGTGCTCCCTCTAGGTCAAGTTAGCCCTGAACTCGCGAAATCCAATTCCTTTTCATAAAATCGTTGTTTCAACCCTTTCTCATTTCGTTTCTCACCATGTCATGCTTATGCATCATTTAATCTCAATTCCATTAAAATGGCGACAATGGCACATATATGGCACTCTCTACAATGTGATTATAACATAGCATTTTCAATTACTAAGAATGAGTATGGCATTTGTTTCTACAAAATAAATGCAAGCATAACACCCATCCCACATTTAATTCACAAGCATGCTCTTTAAATAAATTATTACTACACAATCATGCTAGTACTTAATTTCAACACACAATGACGCAATTCCTTTCACATAAGCATGCTTTGGACACTTAAACACGTCATTAAAATTCATAGGGTAACAACTTCATAATATAACATCCAACTTGAAATCAATGTAAAAACAAGGTAGTAATTCTCAATAAAAGCCAAAGTTCAAGGCATTAGAAAAACCCTACCTCAAAGAAGCTAACCAAACAAGCCCTAAAGCAAACCAAGTTTTCAAAACCCTCCAAGTGTGTGCAAGGTTGGTCTCCAATGAAAGCCCTTAATGTGTAGAACCAATCTCTCTTCTTGGTCTAAGCCTAAATGTCACTTCAAACCTCTCAAATTAGGGCTTGAAATGTGTATACGTATATAGTTGTAGAGAGAGGAAGCAAAATGCTAGAGAGAGAAAGAGGTAGCCGAGATTGAGAGGAGGAAGAAGTGGTTTTGCAATTCAAAAAAAAGTGGTATGGTCAATATCTTGCCGAGTGTCAATTTTGTGGTTTGTAATTCATGCAAAGTTACCATTATGCCCTCCCTTAAACCATACATTACCTCCTTTATCTCATAAATATCTTCCTCTAACATATAGATACACACACACACACACACATATATATATATATATGTATGTAAAATGTCCACAACACCCTTCTATATAAAGGTAAAATTGGGAGAGGTTCTCGAGCCCGAAAATCGTCCTGACTTCCGAAAAATTTTAAGAATGGCACCGTTTTTTCTAGTTGACTTCAAATAATTAAAAATACATTTCTAAAACCTTCGACTCGAGAAAATAACTTAAATGACCCTTGGGACGGGCATGGCACATAAAACGAGGCATGAAAAATAAATTAAATAAAAATTCGAAAAAAATTCAAAAAAATCCGAAACATTACCGTTGGTCCCACTGTTGTACTATTTGCAATAGTGACCCCAATCTTCATTCTATTTGGTCCACTACCCCCACACAACATGCAATCACATTCATACCTATATACATACATCTTATTACACTCAAATACAAAAATAATGAAATGCAATTAAATCCGAGAAGATTCCCAAACACTAAAATCCGGCCCGTGGGCCCACACGACACCCCTCAACCTCAAAAACCCAAAGATGACTAAATGCCCTAACATACATTTCTACGAGTTGTAAGCCCAAAGAAATATCCCAAATAATCCCTGGGACCTGCGTAAGACGCAAAATGAGGCACGAAAAATAATAAAATTGAAATAACGAACAAAAAATCCAAAAAAATATGGGACATTACATTCCTAACAACTAAGTTATCGAGAAATAGTGGAAGTTGGATGGAGTTTTTCTGGAGAGAACGAGAATGGTGAGCGCAAAGTTGAGGTTAAAATAGAAATATAAAACTTTGGTGCTTAATTATTTTCCTTTCCCTTGTAGAAACACAAAATCTTGGCGCTTAATTATCTTCCTTTTCATCTAGATCCAACTATTTTTGGTTAGATTCATTTTCAGTACGATTTTTATTTTCCCTCCATTCTTTATTGTTTTTTTAATTTCTCCATCTTCCACCCAAACTTTTGTCTATCTTTTTTCTTGTATACCTATCCCCACCATACCTACAAATACTACATTTACTGAATTGCTTAGTAAACTTCAAAGGTTGTTTATGAGCTGTAGTCTTACTCTTACATTAACCATAAACATCGATTCGCATCGCCAAATTGATCAAAAGTCGATCGTTTCATGTTCCTTTCTTGTGCCATAACACAAAAGTTTTAACAAGGCAAATCCTTTAACACATATACTTCATTTAAGAATTTCGATTACTGCAAGGTAATTTTTATCAATCTTTATTGAAATGATATTATCTTTTTGGCATAATTTTTTGTCATGATTTTTGTCAATCATGTTGGCAAAATTTTGTTAGATTTGGGTTTTATCAGTCATGCACTTAATTTCATTTTATTAAACTTTTAATATTTTTGCATTGAAGGTAAAGATGTTAATTGATTTGTGAATCCAAGAATTTAATCCTATCTGTGCGGATCAAATTGGTTTTTTACTCTTTCAACTGGGTGTAAATTTATAAAAAATAAATCTGTAGAATATTAATTCACAAGTTTAGGTCTCAAAAAACTAATCCGATCCGATTTGATCCCTTGTATTTATAATAATTATAAATATATTTCAAATATATAATACTCTTTTTACCCTAAACCTGACCCACCCCCTTCTACTCTTTAGCCTTCACAGTTCATATAGTTATAATGAATTATTTCATCCCAATACTTCTTTTATTTGTTTCACACTAGCCAAGGGAATTCATTTGAATTGTGCCGAAGTATTAGCTTTGCTGATGAAAATCAGGTGATAGAATGGTTTGAATTAGATGAAGAGTTGTGGAGCATGGACGACTTCAGTTCTTTTGTACATTGAACTAATCGGTATGTGAAGTTTGTGTTTCTAGTTAAACTGCAGCGTCATTAGAGTACCGTATTGTATTTTCAGCTTTTCGCATGAGAACTTGGTTTACTAGATGTAAATTTCGCGTTCAGAAATGTTTGCTTTTGTAGGAAATCAGTTTGTTTCCAAATTATGTTATGCTCATTTTCAAGTTATCCAGCTCATACGGAGAAGCTATAGCATTCTATGGAAGAGAATGCAAACAAGGATATGCAAGTTGACTATGGCAGTGACATATCCAAAAATTTGTATGAGAAGAGACGGCATTGAACAATAACAGTATATAGTGGGATGCTGTCAAAAATTGAGTGGGGACTGCCCCACACTTAGACATTAATAGGTCTTTCCTTGACTATTGGTCTGCCACACTCAAAACTATTTTATTATTTTTACTTTGACAAGAAACTCACTAACATAGCTACTTCAAACAACCCCCCCCCCCCCCCCCCCCCCCTAAAAGTTAAGTATTAAGCTTTTTATCATCCTAACATCGAGCTATTTTTGCATACGACCTCCCCTATAGTATTCATCAGTACCGCAAAGTGTAACCACCAAGTTCGAGATGGATTGGTGTGGTTCTTCTACACCTAGGACACCAGAATATTGAACTATGAAATGAGAGAAAAACATATTTCAAATCCTGACAGAGGAGAGAAGAATGGGAATGGGAAACTGTGAAGTGAATTTTCAAATACTTGAGAGGAAGCTCCGTGTTATGCTTATGTTTTGGGGGTTAAAAACCAGTCTTGAAGGGTTATGTAGATGCAGACATGGTGGGTGATTTTGATGGCAGAAAATCGACATCAGGTTTTTTATTCACTTTTGGAATGGAAGCTATGTGCTAACGGTCTTAAGTTGCATTAGTGTGTTGCTTTGTTTGCAACTGAGGCAGAGTATATTACTATTTTCTCTCATGATGCCGGGTAAAAAATTTGATTTTGGGAAGGGTTTCTTTTTCGTGTTTTTGCAGAAAAATTCGTTTGATAACCCGTTTCTGCTCTCAGATCAGGACAATTACTGTAGTAACTTTTGCCCTCTTGTCTAGTTCTGATCTAGGGGCATTTTGAGGATTTTGCAGTGTGTTTTTTTAATTTCCTTTCATGTGATCGGGTAGAAAAGCAAATAAAGAATTATTGTGGATGAAAAGATTCCTTCAAAAATTAGGTTTGAAACATGAAGAATATGTAGTATTCTGTCTTGAGCAAGAATGTGATGCATTTTTTTCCCGCACAAAAGGTATCATTGTGTACGTGAGATGATTGAGAAATAGTTGTTATAATTGAAGAAAATTCACAAACAGAATAATGCAATTTTTTTTTTTTTTTTTTTTTTGAGTCATTGACAAAAAATTCATTCACACCACTCACGCACGCACATCGCTCCTTTAGAGACTCAAACTCTCACCATTCACTTGACCGATGATCAGATACTCATAACGTAAATAATACTCGAGTACCTTGCAAAGGCCAAAGATTTGCCGCACCAGACAAGGATAAAAAAACAACCACAAGTTTTGTCTTCTTTTTGGTTGCCAATAAAATGGAGAAAGACTTCGACATGTACAGTTCCTTGTTTAATTGTACTCTGGTCATTGATGGTGACAATTCCAATTTACAATGGAGTCTTGTAAAATATGAACACAAAATTTTCAACTTGGGGAAGAAATTGAAGTATTCAACTTGGTATTGTCACCATCAATGACCAGAGTACAATTAAATTAGGAAAGACTTTCCTAATTTAATTGTACTCTGGTCATTGATGGTTTCCTAATTTAATTGTACTCTGGTCATTGATGGTAACAATACCAATTTACAATGAAGTCTTGTGGGATATGAACAGAAAAATTTTCAACTTGGGGAAGACATTGAAATATTACTTACACCAAAGACTTACCTAAGTTCAACAAACAAATAATTTAAGTGATGGATTAATATAGTTGCATATAAATTTCATAACTCAAACCAAACAGACTACTAGTATATTCTAGTCATAGAGACGGTGAAGTTGGAATACGAGGCATTTGACTTTGATACCATATTAATTACCATCTACAACAAAAGTTACACGGTTAGAGAGAATGTAACTTAAATATATAAATCATTACGACAAATCCCAACTCAATTTGTAACTCTAATTTGCAGGCTGTGTTTTTATCTTTGCACCAAACAATATTTACTACTTGAACAGAGTCATGGGGGTGATAGTTTATTTAAACTGCCATCGTTACAAGTACTTTCACTCCTCATATTGAACTGCTATTAACACACACGCACTCTCTCTCTAGGCATCATGGAAAAGAAGAAGAATGTAATGTTGTTATTGCTTATAACATGCTCATTTGTGGCTTGCTTGGCTATGTCTTCTACCAGCTTCACAGATGAGGAGGCACTTCTAGCCTTCAAAGCTCATATTACCTTTGATCCCAGTAACGTTTTGGCGACAAATTGGTCACAAGGTACCTCCTTTTGCAATTGGATTGGTGTATCTTGCAGCCGTAGGCGCCAAAGAGTGACAGCCTTGAATCTTCCCAATATGGGCCTTAGAGGTACCATCCCCAAAGAAGTTGGCAACCTCTCGTTCCTTAGCTTCCTCGACGTCAGTGAGAACAGCTTTCATGGCCATCTCCCTGATGAACTGGGTGGTTTGCGTCGACTAAAATCAATCAATTTTCGCCTCAATGAGTTTACTGGTAAAATTCCATCAAGTTTTGGAATTCTAACCAAGCTTGAGTTCCTGCTTCTCTCTTACAACAACTTCACAGGATCCATCCCCCGAGGCATAGGCTTTCTTCCCGAGTTGAAGTTGTTATACATCAGGAACAACAGCCTTTCAGGGTCCATTCCCTCCACCATCTTCAACATTTCTTCGTTGCAAAAGATTGACCTCACTTTCAATGAGCTGTCTGGTACTCTCCCAATGGACATGTGCAACAATCTCTCGAAGCTTGAAGCGCTACATCTTTCGTTTAATCAGCTAGGTGGCGAGCTTCCTACAAGCTTACCCAAATGTACTCAACTTCAAAATATATCACTATCGGTGAATGAATTTACAGGACAAATTCCTCGGGAAATCGGCAACCTATCTAAGCTTCAACTTTTATATCTTGGTGGTAACAGCCTGACAGGTACAATTTCATCTTCAGTTGGTAATTTGTCAATTTTAAAGCTGCTGCTACCAGCCTTAAAAGTTTCATTAGAACACCCACCAGCTTCCCCTGTTTTATCTCTTCCAAAAAAACAGGCCAAACACTATTCAAAACAGATTTTAAACCCCAAAAGCTGCGCTTGAAAAGCTAATCCAAACAGGGCCTTAGGATAAAACAATTTAAATAAAACATATCTTTCAATTTTGCAATCTCTAAGCTTCTTGTCTTCACTTTATCTTGCAGGTGAATTACCCGATACAGTCCTCAACTTCTCCTCACTAGTGGTTTTTGATGTCGCCAAGAATGCAATCTCTGGTGGTCTGCCAAAGGGTCTATGCCAACGAAATCCGAGGCTTGAAGTCATTAATCTTGCTTCGAACCAACTCGCTGGAAATCTCTCTTCTTGGCTGTCAAATTGTAAGCAACTTAAAAAACTCTATCTCTTGATCAATAATTTCACAGGAAGCATGCCGGTTAACATTGGGAACAATTCCACCCTTCAAGTTTTACATCTTTACAGAAATAATTTGGAAGGTGAAATTCCACTTTCAATTGGTAATATGTCCGCGTTAGAGGATATTGATGTGAGTGAGAACAATTTTCATGGTATTATTCCTTGGCAATTAGGGAATCTCCCGAATTTGATAGCCCTAAGCCTTGGTTCTAACAACCTTATGGGTGAAATACCACGGTCACTCTTCAACATAACTAATTTACAAGACCTTTCACTCTCAATTAATCAACTTTCAGGAAATCTTCCATCAAGTGCTGGCCTTTGGCTTCTGAATCTTCGTACTCTTTTTCTTGGTGGCAACAAACTCAGTGGAATAATTCCCAACTCAATCTCAAATGCCTCCCAACTAGTTGAAATTAGTCTGTCCCATAACTTGTTCACTGGTAGCATACCAACCACTCTCGGGACTATAGACCACCTCCAATCGCTTGATTTAGGATCGAATCAGCTGAAAAATGATCCATCGTCAACACTTGAGCTAAGTTTTCTCACTTCATTAACAAATTGCAGGCTTTTGGATGTTTTGGTCATACAATATAATCCCCTGAACGGTATTCTTCCAAAGTCCATTGGAAATTTCTCTGACTCTCTTGAAATATTTTATGCATCTGCCTGCCAAATAAAAGGAATAATTCCTATTGAAATTGGGAATTTGAGCAACTTGATTTCACTGACTCTAGGAGGAGGTAATGACTTGACAGGGTCAATCCCGGAAACATTTGGACAGCTACTGAAACTCCAGTTTCTGGAAATTGCCGGTACTAAATTGCAAGGCGAGATAACAGACAGACTTTGTGCTTTAACAAGCTTGAGTGAGCTAGAGTTGAACGGAAATAAATTTTCTGGATCAATTCCGAGCTGCATTGGGAACCTTACTTCATTGAGAAGACTTTTTTTAGATACTAATGCCTTAACTTCCGAAATTCCATCGACTCTGTGGAACCTTCAGGATATCTTGATTATGACCTTGTCTTCTAATAGTCTAACTGGTTCTCTACCTCCAGAAATTGGCAATTTGAAACATGTTACACTGTTGGATCTATCAAAGAATCAGTTCACCGGTAAAATTCCAAACACAATTGGGCAGCTTCAGAACCTGGTTAACCTCTCACTGTCAGAGAACAGACTACAAGGTCCTATACCCGAATCATTTTCTGATCTGATAAGTTTGGAATCCTTAGATTTATCGCGCAACAGTTTTTCTGGTGCAATCCCCAAGTCATTGGAGAAACTTTTGTATCTTAAGTATATAAATGTTTCTTTCAATAGACTAAGTGGAGAAATTCCAAGTGGAGGACCTTTTGCAAATTTCACGTACGAATCTTTCGTGCAGAATGATGGACTATGTGGAGCACCTCGGTTCCATGTCAGAAAATGCAGAAGCCCCAAAAAATCACGGAAGACAGAAATTCTTCTAAAGTATATCGTACCACCAATTGCCTCCGTGGTGGTTGCAATGGCTTTTCTGGTTGGGCTGCTAAGATGCAAAAAGAAAAGCAGGCAACTTCCAATCCAATGTGACTCACCACCTGGTGGAACACACAGAAGGATATCACACCAAGAGATTCTTTACTCAACAAACTACTTTAGCGAAGACAATTTGATCGGTAAGGGAGGCATTGGTTCGGTATACAAAGGGTTGTTCACTGATGGGATGGTGGCTGCTGTTAAGGTTTTCAACTTGGAGCAACAAGGTGCATTCAAGAGTTTCGATGCAGAGTGCCAAGTAATGCGCAACATTCGCCACAGAAATCTTGTCAAAATAATCAGCAGTTGCTCTAACCTCGATTTCAAAGCCTTGGTGCTAGAGTATATGCCTAATGGGAACCTTGACAGGTGGTTGTACTCTCACAACTATTGCTTGAATATTGTCCAGAGGTTGTGCATCATGATAGATGTTGCATCTGCATTAGAGTACCTCCATCACAGTTGCTCAACCCCTGTAGTGCATTGCGACTTGAAGCCGAGCAACATTCTATTAGATGAAGACATGGTTGCACACGTAGGTGACTTCGGCATAGCAAAGCTCTTGATGGAGAACCAGTCAATGGCACAAACAAAGACAATAGGCACCATTGGGTATATGGCACCAGGTTTGTTCCTTCTGAATCTTTTTTTTTTTTTTTTTTTGGGTAAGTTTGTCGTGGTATTTTTACTTATCACTCTCTGTTACAAATTTATTACTGTTTCTTTTCTTTTTTTTTAATTTTCTTCTTTTTTCTTAGTTGGTTTATTTATAATACAAATGTTACAGAGTATGGTTCGGCTGGGATGGTATCCGTTATGGTGGATGTTTACAGTTATGGAATTCTATTGATGGAAACATTTACAAGAAAGAAGCCGACGGATGATATATTTCTGGGAGAACTGAGTTTGAAGCATTGGGTACGCGAGTCTTTCCCTAGTGATATACTGGAGGTTGTAGATGCTAATTTACTAAGAGGAGCGGAAGAGAATTTTGCTGCTATGAAGAATTGTTTGTCGGCCCTCTTGGGATTAGCTCTAGAACGCACAGCAGACTTACCCGAGGAGAGGGTTAACATGAATAATGTCTTAGCGAGGGTCAAGAAGATCAAAATCATGTTTCTTGAGAACGTAACGAGGCCTGGAATGAAGCCACTGATCTAGCTAAGTTTCAGAACCAAGTACTCGGTTAGAGAAGAAATCTTCGTGTTTTGTTTTAGATGTTTCACAAATAAGCCTTTTGCATGCTTTATCAACTATTTCTTGGCATTCTTAATATAGTTAGTGATATTCGTATTCACTTTCTTCAGATATCTGTATGACATTTGAGTCTGTGAGTCCACGAGAGTTATTATTTGTACGCTTCTCTTCCTTTCAGTTGAATGTTTGCCACATTTTTTTTTTAATGTCAAATAGTTGTGATATAGTCCATTTTCGTTCATTTCGTAAATGTGTAAAAGAATAGAAGCTATGCTTCGGGGCACGAGTTGGAATTGGAGAAAATTTTAGTTCATAAACACAAATTTGGTGCTCTCAAATGCAACATGGTTGAATTTTGTATTGTTCAATGACTCTTATGATGAGAGGACTCTCTTGATAGCATTACTCTTCTTTATACGATCAAGTTTTGATTCTTTTGTTAATAGGAATTTGAATACCATCCTTTTAACTGAAATGAATTTTGGGAGGAGGAACTCATATTGCAATGCTTTCGTTCGTAAGAAACTCAATCCAAACAAGTTCCAAGTTCCAACCCTTGGCCAAAGCAACATCTAAATAGAAAAATATTAAATAAATCATGTTTATATTAAACTCATATTTTGAGAATTTTAGATTTGTATGATGGGTATTCTTTGTTTGCTCAAATTTTGATTCTCTTGTAGTGATTGGAGTGAGTTTAATTCAAATGAAAACCACATGATATTAGGGATGCAAACATGTAGATCTGGGATGAGGTACAAATATTGCAACCTTTTTCCGTGCACAAGAGAATTCCTTTCAATAGAGTTATAGTGGGTTTTTTTGTCTTTTTGACACTTCCTAATTTTGAAGTAATTTTTGTTTAGGATTGAGTACAGGTATTTCAGCATTTTTTATCATAGTGTTAGTAATTTATTGGGACAGCAACTCAGAATCTAGTTCAAAGGAGAGATCAAGGAGATCAACAATTGCAATGGATTACCATTTGACCCAAAAGGGTAAGTTGGTTGCGAACCGCCCTACCTACTTGTCCATCCCTACCCCAACAGGGGGAGGACCTTGTAGCAACCCGGACACGGATCAAACCCTGCACTTGGCATGACACCGAACTGGGCCTACTCTAATACCACTTGTAATGAGTCAGACACTTCCCATTCGACCCAAAAGCTTAAGTTGTTAGAAAATTCTACATACCCGGCCTTGTACGTCCAAAAGCCTCCTCATCCGGATCCAATGCAAGACAAGAACCCACAATAATAATCCACTATGTGATGATGATATTTCATTTTTAAAAACCATAGTATTTTGGTAATTAGTCTCAACAGTTTTAACTTTGAAGAGAGGTAACAGGAACCAAAATTAGCAATAACTAAAATTACTTTCAGAGTTCCAGTGAAATATAATCTCGCAAAACTTCATTTCTTAAATCCAAGATCATGCTTTCTAATGGAATTTATAAACTAGTAGTATATAACATAAAAATTACACGGCAGATGGATCTTCAGATATCCGAACCCGACATAGAAATGTGGTGCTTGGCTATGGTTTGGGTGATGTGAGCTGCCTCAGATTGTACTTGGCCAATTCTTTGTATTTCTCCACAACCCCAATCAAGCAAACAGTCTGTAAAGGAAAAATATCACATACTATATGATCAGGACTCATAAGAATCAGAAACAAGAAATACAATTGGATCAATACAATTCACTCCAATCTCTACTTGAATTGGAGGTGCAAGTGCAGCATGTGCTTTTGCACTCGTGCAACGATTCAACACCAAATAGAAATTTTACAGCCACAAGCACAGTTCATCAGCAAACATGCAGGCCATTGAACATTCTAAACTTAGAGGTGACAACTACAGCAGTGATAATGCCTTGCCTAAATGCAGAAAACATAAGCAAAATAATTTTTAATTCTAAAAATAACACATTAATCTCAGTGATGATTTTGAAATATATATATATATATATATATATATATATATATATATATATACTTTTTTCCTGAAAATCAAAATAGCCTATTTATCGAGCAAATGGTTGTTGCAGTTTTGAGTGTCGGGGAAGAAGGGAGTGGCGCTGATGGTATTGCACTTTCGTTCAATCTTTATACAAACAAGTCAATCTATGAACGTCATTAGACAGCGTATATACATAAAAATTGTATATGTGAAAATTTAGGAATTTTAGAGCATCAAAATCACAATTTCAGGCTTCACTGGTAAAACCAGGGAAGATAAGATAATCTAAATTCCAATCCTAGGTTAACCTTTTATATGCTCTAATGGATGTCAATAAATATATGAGTCATGTTAACGAGCAGCGGTATGAGAAAATAAATAAATTAAAAAATAAAAAATTAATGCTTAAACAGTTTAGCAGTGTTCTCATGTCACGAGACTTGGAGGGTAAAAGAACTTGACACCAGACAAACACATATCTAGAACGGGTACTCAAGTCTATGTAACAACTAGAAATCCCAAACATCAAGTAAAACTAAATGCCTTCAAAGTTACATTGCAATAAACTAGGATGATAAAAAAGAAAACAAAATTATTATTTCCTTAACTGGACTCCCTACTCAGTTAAGATGAAGTTGTGTTGTCTTGAGTTGAGCTTTGGAGTTCCATTTAGTTTGACGAAAGGCAACACTTAAGGTGTTGGGTGTGCAACCTGCACATTATGGACTGTCAACTTATTCAAGCCTCAAAAAGATGTCTCGAGCTGATTATCATAAAGCCCACAATCATTTTCCAGTAGCCTTGAAAGCCTTCTATAATTACGTAACCTAATGTAGTGCCAAATGGAAAGAAAGAAGACAGTCTTTATTCCAATTGAAAATTTAATGATTACCCAAACTTGTCAGTTTTCTGTGACTTGCCTAATTACCTACGAACAATCAATTCTTGAAGGGAAGATGGCGGAAATTAAGCTATTAGCACACATAGTGCAAAGAAGACACAAAAGGCATAATCTAATATTAAAAGGTGCAACAGTTACCAAAGGACTAACTACAGCTGAATGGTAAGCACCTTTGGATTGTCTTCACTAGAAAACATAATTTTTGAAATCCTTATGCGTCACCATTGCAGCTAAAGGAAGGAATAGAAGTAGGGACCAAACTAGAAAAATCTCTTTGGAACATGCTCACTAAAAAGAACTGAAAGTGGTTAACTCTCTGAATCACGAGCAGGGCTGCAGGGCCCTCTAGAAACCTCCTCAACTTCACCTGTTCTTTGCAGACGTGTGGCTTTATTGGGGTTCTTAGAGTCCATTAGGTGACCCTTGCCATTCTCCTAGTCTCCAGCCCAGCCCTTTTCTTGTCTTTCTTGCCTTAAAACTGCTCAAATTTGTCCATTTTGCATTAATTTCTCTCAGCTTCCCATCTCTCTCCAAGCACATCCACCTTTAATAATACTTGCAATGCAATCAATCAGCTGGATCTTGGAGAGAGAGAGAGAGAGAGGGCAGTGGAAGCTTTCTAGATAGAAAATTTTGTCTCTGGATTTCATCAAGCTGATTGAGTTGTGATGTGTGGTTGTTCTTGATGGGGAAGGTGACAGTAGGGTAGGCAATGTTGTGCACCAGAGCAGTTTGCACACTGCAGGAGCTGGCGGTGCACCACCTCATGCGGAGCTCTAGCCGGTGGGCAAACGTGATGGGCATACTGAGGGAGTTCAAAGAGATGTGCGGCACTGGCATCCTTAAAATAATTAACAAGATCAATCCCATTGTATCAGAAGGTATAACTCTAGTAAAATTTGTACTCTCGACTAATAGTGGAGCAATTACAACCTAGATAACATCCTCGACTCCTCACTAGCCCGGCTTAGGCTTAGCTACTTCTAATATGAATAATCAAACTTTTTTGCCCCAATGTTCCCTGTAATTTTTGCTCCCGCTGCCTGATAGACTTGCTCTCCACCATGGGTGAGACAAGAATCTGGTGTCCAAGGATGACCAGGGTCCACAGTCCATCGAATGACAGGAAAATTGAAAACAAGTAGTGGTACCACATGCCTTAATCCCAACAGTGAACCATGTAATATTTAATATTTTTGCCAAATTGGAAAACAAGTAGTGGTACCACATGCCCTCCTTGATGATATTCTAGAAAGTCTAACCACACCTTTATGGGCATAAGAACTTCTAAAAGAATGTCATATTGGAAATCACTCTCCTTAGCTCCCTATTCCAATTCTAGTACTCCTAACACTTGTCCAATATTCAATTTACAACATTGCTATCAAAATAATAGTTGCGTTGCTGACAATATTCTTGGCCACCTATGTCCAAGAATCCAACTTTCAGTTAACTTTGTTTCTAATAAACTGATATCCCAGTACAATCAACAACTTTTTTTTTCATAAACCAAATAATATAAGTTCTCAACCATAAACTTGCAAAATTTTCCAGATACCAGCAGCCTGAATCTTATTTTAAGCATCATTGGTAAGAAAAGAGTCATAACACCTCATTCCACAATCTGGTGGGTTCGTTGGTAACTCAATGGAATTACGATGCATGGGATTACAGACAAAACATAGAGCTTCCATCTAAACAAGTGACAATAGCTACCCTTAGTGTGTGAGGCTGCCAAATAGAAGGGTAAAAGTTTATTAACCATATACAGTTTCAAAAATGGTAAAGTAGAGAAATAACCACTTATAAGGCAAAAAACACCTTTCAGCCTCACCAACTCAATTTATCACCCCCGGAGCCAGATTTTCCATGCATATTGACACAATATATTTACACTGTGACCCTTGTCTTCTCCTATTAAAGGAACGCTTTCGCAGAGACTATTAAGTACTAAATTAATAAGCACGGTAGTAGCAGGAGTCCAAGACTCGTTAACCTTATTTGTTGTTCCATTGCTAGAGCATAGAATTTATAAGGCAGATCTAGATTAGTAAACACATGAGCGCTACATCCTACTTTTTCTTTTCTTGTTTTTTTTTTTTTTTTTTTTTTTTTGACAAATACATGAGCTAGCACATACTTCAATACAATAGGCAACTCAAACTATAAAAACTGGATGTGTAATAAACATTGAATGTATGCATATATTCAAAGCCAACTCATACAAATAAAGCACTTTCTTACCTTGACAATTTGAACCACTATGTTCTTATCTGGATTATTTAAATCAACTTTGTGGGGTCCAGGGACAGATTTTGCAACTGCATTGATGATTTTCATTCTATCAATACCAGTATTAGCGCGGGCTTCGTATAACACTGCAAACTGCAAAAGAAGATTAAGTTAGAAATTACATCCTCTTGTGCAACAGATACACAACCTGTATTGGGAAACAACATTGCAACCTCAAACTAGGTCAACTCAACACCAATGACCTAACCCACCATTAAGTCTGTTGTTTCTTTTTCTTCAGTCAAAGAGTTGGTAATGAGTTGATAAAAAAGTAGTTTCAAAAAGTTGAGACTTCAAATAAACCACCAAATACAGAACAGACCTATAGATATATACATTATCATGCCCTTTTTAAAATTGGGCTCACTTTCTAATTTAACTCGCACAAGTTAAAATGGGCTGTGATGGGTCATAGTGGGTGAATCATATGAAGTGTCGAATTCGGTTGGTTCTTTAGTTGCTGCTCAAGACTTTCAGCTTAGCGTTGTTTGCTGTGAGATAAGCTCAACCAAAACTGTGCTCCACTCCAGTAAATATTAACTAAGGCTACCAGTAATTAAAAAAAAAAAAAACACTAAACTAAACTTGAGGGAAATTATGCATTAAAAAAGAAATGCATTGCTGCATCCATGTTTTGATTATACTAGGTAATCGTAAAGTTACAAACTTAACACCCAACCCCCCCCCCCCCCCCAAAACAAATAATAATAATAATAATAATTAAATTTATAAAGTTAACAAATCCTCCATAGCATTTTAATTCAGAATAACATGTATAAAATGTCTGTTGTGCACAAGTTTAAACAGTAACTGGATAGGGGAAAAAAGCTAAAAAGCACTTCAATGTGGACATGTTCTTCCAAGATCTTGTCTTGAATTTACCATATCTTTTGGTTCCTCCCAATGTTGTCAAATAGCCCTCTACAAAGATTAACCTTGCCATGTTTGGTGGAAGAAACCACAACTTTGATAAAGCAGGGCACTTCTTACTAATGAGATTTGTCATTTGGACACTTGTTGATATGACATACATATCTACTGATGCCACACTATTTTGGGGACACTTGAAACAGATTCCACATTATCCACATAAAAGATATGCAATGTATAAGAATTAGAAAACTTCTTGCAAACCGATCTATAATACAGTTTTTTCCATCATTGTTTACTCTCTACAAATTTTCTGCATGCATATAAACACTTAGATATAATCCATGGCCACTAAATCCACAAATGCACACATGATGTTTGTGTCCGTGAGTTTAGATTACAGGAAATAGTACGTATCAAAATAATACTCCGTAATAAAAATAATAATATAAAAGATCATGGGAAATGGCACATTCAACACCGTATCCATGCCCAAACACAACATTTGAAACCATAACTCAATCAATACTACTTCTGAGGCTAGGAGTTTCTAAACTAGTGAAGGGAAAACTTCATCCATGACTAGAGAACAGATATATGAGCAGCAGTTAGAAAGCCCTTAGTTTAGTCTATTAAATTCAATATGTTACACCTCTTCAGCTGCGAAGTGTTCAATTTGGCAACACTGCAAGAATAACGAATTTCTTTTCTTTAAGCAACTAAGCCACAGTGTGGTTAAGCTAAGGAGTGAAAATTTTGATGAACAGTACCTTTTGCGGGGTCTGAGTTTCCACAGGAAAGTTTTGTGCAATGAGGGGTTTGATTGCTGTAGTAATTTCCTCTTCTGAAGCATAACATGACACTTCAATTGGTAGCACTCTTAACATGAACCTAATAAAAAGCAATTCACACTTTAGCAAACTCGGACTAAAAATCACAAAACTGATGTGCACATATGCTAGACAAAGACAAACCTATTTACCAAGAAGGTAATAATTTAAGACTAAAAGTAAGTTATGAACCTTGACATATGCTTCTTAGTTGAGGCAAGTGACGTCATCATGTGTTGTACAATATCTTTGGTGCTGGGGTCGCCATCTCTCTTGCGCATTTGAACAAAGACAACACCATTGCAGCCCGAATCAAGCTTGTTAAAACGCCTCTGCTTAAAAAAGACAAGAATATATTATAGAAACAGGCATAAGATTCAAGGCATATTTTGGACAAGAACAGATTATCAGCGCAAGCAGAGATTCACAACTCTACACCTGTCTGTTTTGCACTAAATGGCTGATAAAATGCCACCAATGGAAGGGGGATCTCAGAGATTGACTAAACAGTACATTCTACAGAAAATGACAAACTCGAAATGGAAAGGCTATTAATATAGCTTAATGGAAAAAAGGAACCTTAAAACCCCCATTAATACTAGAAATTTGTTTTTCAACCAATAATTGTGTAAAAAAAAAAAATCAGCATTAAGATTTAAAATTGTAAATGATCTATTAAAAGTATTATTAAAAACAAAAAAAAAAAAAAAAATAGCTAGTAAACACACGTTAATACGTCTCATCTGACTGCAAAACCAAGCCAGGTCAATTAAAAAATCAGTATACGTGTGCCACTATCTTTATTTACAAATGCATCGTACATAAAATTTATCATTCAGCAAAAATGGATTGATAAACGATTATTGGTAAGTCACGTAACTTCTAAGACAGAAGAAGAAAAATAATTAATTACATTTATAGAAGGGCTGCTACGCGTGTGCATGTATGTGGATGTGTAGGTGTATGTGTATGTGTATGTGTATGTGTATGTGTATGTGTGTCTCTGCGTGTGTGAAGAGATAGAGAGAGCACTTAGCATATTCTCCCTCTCATCAAAACAGAATTCAAGACAGATAAACTGAGTTATAGTGAAGTCATAGGCCATGCACTTAAAATCATTTATCACTCTAGTACCAATGCCCTTTTACATCTAGAAGGCATTTAATAAAGGAATTAACAGAAAGCATATACCTTATAAAAATAAAAATAAAACAAAAATGAAGTAAGATTGTATCTAAAATCTCAGTGAGATGAAGTCAGCCGTATGATTGAGTTTTGTGTTATCACAAATTGCATTTCCCTGAAGCGTTCATCCAGAACACACAATTTCATAAGTAATACTACGTACATCCTTATTTCACGTAATTGAATTTAGAAGACTAATATATTTCGCCTTATATCTTATCATATTCCTTTTTCTGACAAACTTTGATAACTCTAAGACACTAATAAGTTCTTACACTAATTCTCTACAAACCTTAACCCAACAATCCAACCCCAAAAAACATTTTATGTCACAAAAGGCAGAAATAAACACCTGTTTGGCAGCAATGTGATCGCTCCAAAGATTTATTAAACCATTCATCCGTAATGCTGCGTTTGGTGTGCAGGAATGGAATGCCCATTCCAACCATTCCTTTGTTTAGTATGCAATTTAAAATGAGAATGGTCATTCCCATTGGAATGAAAATCCATTCCACAACTAAACCTATGGAATGGTCATTCCATTTCGAAGTAAATTTTTTTTAAATTCAACTTCCCAAAAAACCCTCATGTTCCAAGTCCAAAAACCACCACTACCTTCCACCACAACCACCTCCGCCTTTCACCACCACCACCGACTCCACCACTACCACCGCTTTCCACCGCCACTGCCACCACCGCCATCACCTTTCACCACCGTCATCGCCTTTCACCACAACCACCACCACCTCCTTCCACCACCGCTACCGCATTCCACCGCTACCACCTTCCATCACCACCACCGCCGCAGCCGCCACCTTCTTTCATCACTGCCACCGCCTTCCACCACCACCGCCTTCCACCGCCACCGCCGCCACCATCACCGCCTTCCACCACTACCACTACCACTACCAGTACCACCAGGTCCACCACCACCACCGTCACCGCCTTCCACCACCGCCGCCGCCGCCACCACCTTTCGCCTTTCACCACCGCTACCGCTACCGCTACCGCATTCCACCGCTACCAACTTCCATCACCACCACCACCACTGCCTTCCACCACCACCGTCACCGCCTTCCACCGCCACCACCTTCCACCACCGCCTTCCGTTATCGCCACTGTCACCACCTTCCACCACCACCACCTCCACTGCTTTCCACCACCACCACCACCACCTTGCACCACAGCCACTGCCTTCCACCACCACCACAATCACCTCCATTGGCTTCCACCACCGCCACCTCAATTGGCTTCCACCACCGTCACCTACACCACCATCTCCTTCCACCACTACCATCACACTGCAGCCACCGCTTTCCACCAACACCACTGCCGCCTTCCACCACCACTACCACATTACAGCCACCGCTTTCCACCAACACCACTGCCGCCTTCCGCCGCTGCCGCCGCCGCCTTCCAACGCCGCCACCTACACCACTACAGCTTTCCATCTCCACCACCGCCATTTATTTTTTAAAAAAAATCTAGAAGAATGTCATTTTGTTAATTTAATTTATTTATTTCTAAGAGGGATATTTTGGAGAATTCAATTTTAAATTTATTCCATTCTAAATTTTAAATTGGTGTAACCAAATACTAGAATGGTTATTATCATTCCATTCCTACACATTTCATATTTACAACCAAACAATAGAATGAGAATGACCATTCCATTCCATTCCCATTCTCATTCCATTCCCACTTGCATTCCATTCTATTCCTACACACCAAACGCAGCATAAAGGCATTCATTCAAGAATTGTTTTTATCCAGTCTTTAGGAATGAATAGGGAAGGCAAAACCCTCTGATACATTCTTACCAAAGAAATCAGCTTGATCAATCTATACAACACCTATGAGAAAGGGAACAAATTCACAATCTCTCTCAGGTAGTGAGTGACCATATTGCCAAGCACATAGGAACCAAGAACTCGCCCAGCCAATTTCAATCTGCAACTCAAACAATGACAAAACCAATAACCACAAGAGATCTCTAATCCAAAGTTCCACTATCATGGGGAGCACTTCATCAAGAAACCTCACATTTCTCACTCCAAATAACCAATAGCCACCAATTTCCAAATAACAATCGTTGTGAATAATAGTATCAGTAGGCATCAATATCATTATGGGCCAGTAAAAGAGAGCTTTATTGCCACAACTGCAATTGCAAGCCATAAATATATAAAACCCATTCCTCTCATTTATTCCACTTTATTTCCACAAAGTCAGTTTTTGGACTCTCCAAAACCAATACGCATAGATTTACTCTCCAAAACTTATAATACAAAAGATTGAAGCTTAATTCAAAAAATAAAGGGCTCAAGAGTCAAGAAATTTCATTTTTTAAATAGTAACTTTCAGTTTTGTCTGTTCTTTTTACTCGTCAAAAATAAATAAATAAAAATTGTCTGTTCTTTTTATTTTCAATTTATTTATGCTATTGTTAGAACTTAATTAAATTTGTTATTTGATATTAGATCTTGAACAATACTTAGGTCCTCACTAGTGAGGATCTACACCATCCCCACTGTTGATGTAAACCAATAATAAATGGACATGTCATCTTTAATTACCAAATTCAATATGGTGGGGTATCTACCCACTTACCAAATCAGAAATGGTGATTTGATTACCATCTATGATTTGGTAATTAAAATAGAATGTATCCATTTATTATTGGTCCTCATCAGTCAGTATGGTGTAAATCCTCACTAGTGAAGACCTAAGTATTGTTCTTAGATCTTGAGAGATCGTTGGTGGATCTTGTTCTGAATCTTCCAATAACAGATCTACCAATTGTTTCCACCTACACCCACCCAAAAAAAAAAAATTGTAGAGTAAGACACTAAGACTATAATGTTATCTAGAACTTAGTTAGCTTTTGTTGTTGAAAACTTAAAAATTCAATGTTAAAATATTCAACAAAATCCTTTAAAAAACACAAATATATGGGACAATTTTATTAGTACATACATATCAATAAAAAAATATGGGGGCTTGGGCGAGGGAAAAAATTCACAACTCTAGTCCGCGTCAGGTACATTACTTCCATTACACCCTATATCCGTTAAACCATTAACTGTTACTGTTATGGCTGCGATTTAGAATCTTGCTTTCTCACTTGGGCCAAATGATTCTTAGGAGGTTTGGAGGAGAGAGCCATCACCCCTAGGCAAAAAAGCTCACTAAACTAAAAGTGTTTGACAAAGACAGACTGAGGCTGAAACTACATATTCTCATTAAAAAAAAATGTCAAATACATATAAAGATACGGAAGTGTCAAATGCATACAAAGATATGGAATTGGATGCTTGTATTTTTTACGAATTTTCAAACATAATCATTTAGGTATATATAAGAGTTCTGAAACAAGATAATGACATACTTCCAAATATTTCAGTTGCTGTAAAGAAGTATAGGAACATGAACGTCAGAAAAAGAAATTATCATTCCATTGGATCAGCAATTACTAGCAATCTCTATATGGAAGAATCATTTCCAGCATAAACCACTCAAATGAACATGGCAGAACCAGAGAATAACTAAGGAGAAGTGCAGTTTCAAGAAAACAGATCAGCCATGAGCCCAAAAAATATGACAAAACCAAGTTCTGCATGGCATCCATCAACTCCAAAGATATGAAGAAAATACATTTTTAATGGAATAAGTTCAGTGGGACTCACCTTGCTCCTGTCTCCCAACTCTCTGAGTTCGGCTTCAATTAACTTATCAATAGACTTCTCCATTTTATTATGGACAACATTTCCACCTTTTGATACATCTGTTTCTAGGCATTGTTTCTTTTCTGGTGGCTCCTTGGCTTCAACTTCTTGATTATGATGACTCTTACCATTGTCTTTACTGTCTTCCATATTTTCTTTTATTAGATTCTCACATTCTTCTTGAGGATCTGATTTTTTGTTTGACAAACTTTCATGATTTTCATCACTGTTTCTTTGAGTATTTGACTTTTCTTTTTCCTCTTCCTTGTCTTTCTGATCATCTTCATAATCATCGTCGTCATCCTCATCATCATCATCATCACTACTATATGTGAATGTAGTTTTTTTGTTCAAGGGTTTACTGGCTAATTCTGTGAGTGTCAAACATGAATCCTTCCCTTGTACTAGCTCTTCATAAAACTGCCGCACAAAAAACTAACAAATCAGAGCAGCTATTCAACAGTGTGTATTTTTATTCATACTTATCAAAAAAAATAAAAGGGGGGGAGAGGGGGGGGGGGGGGGGGGGGGGGTGGTGGTGGTGGTTTGTTATCGTTCAATCCCAACCCATAAGTAAGTTGAATGATTGTATTTATCATGTTGAATCCATTTTCCTGTGATAGCTGCAGTTATCAATCAAAATATTCTTATTGAATAGCCAAACTCATGATATAGAAAATAACACAAACAAAACCCAAAAGTTGGAAGCTATAATGAATAATTATAAATGCTAAAACAGCTTCAAATGCACTATTCCTGTTTTTTGGAATCGGAACCATATTATCAATCACAGAACCAAAGTCGGATCGACGGTTTAAATGGATACATATGGGGACCCCTACGTGTGATTTTATTCCAAACAAAAATCCAATTGAACATTCTTGGTTATATGATCTTGATGCAGACCACTGTGGCATAGAAAAACATATACTTTTCAGTGTAACAAGAAAGAAGACCGTTAGGGAGCAAAGGAATACAGCGGAGAGGAAGAATATGAGGTACAAAAGCCTATTAATGTTGTTGAAGATCAATATTTTACATGCTTCGAGTTACAATTGTAGGAAAATTATTAAAATCAGTCTAAATAAATAGCTGACACAAATGTCAAAGTGTGAAAGGCTTTAATTAGTGAGTAAAAAGAACCAAAAGCAGCTCCACGCATTGCCCTTGATGCTACAGTTGAATCAAAAGAAGATAATAAAGTGAAAGAAGAGGCTAAATAGTGGATTTTGAAATATATCTGAGGTATATCAAAGAAAGTACATGAAGAAAATTATACAACCATAATCCATATTTCAGATCGCCTTAAGAAAGTCCTATGCACCAGTTGCTTCAACAATTAATTTCATCATTCCTGACAAATGCAAATTAGAAATAGATATTCAACTATCATCCTGACCACATTAAAGAAAGTGGAAAAGGAGGTATCAGCCTTGGATGCAGCTTCATAGCTCATGAATTTTTATGCATTAACACTTCAACTCGAGTTCAATTTTTTTCAAACCAAGAGAGAATGATGCAGTTCATCAAGGGTCATGAAAAGCAACCTCAATGAAGAAAGCTATCTTGGAAGTAGGTTTGTTTTCAAGGCAGATCCCAATTGGGAATGCGCATAGTATAGCTTTAGTTTTGGTCGATCCATTTTTTATATTTCTTACTGTTGCTTGTTGGTTTGATTTTATTTATGTTATATCGAGTTTCTGGAGTCAATAGTGTTTTCGGTAATTGCAGTACATGGATTTAGTAGGCTCCATTGGTCATATTTTGGGTCAAGTTATGTTGTTGGATCTTTCTATATAAATTTAGTTGGTTTGGATAACTTTAACGGGTCACAGTCTTATGTTTCTAATTTTCAAGTCAATAACCACCAGTCCAGCACTTATCAAAAAATAAATAAAGTCAATAACCAGTCCGGCAATCTAAACATATCTCTAGCATAAAGACCAATTATTTTAGTTGTGAAAAAGGCTTTGGTTATTGTCATTGTTGTTGTTGTTGTTGTGTGTGTGTGTTTTTTTTTTTTTTTTGATAAATTAAATTATATTAGAAAGCGTTCAAGAGGGGAACGCATCCCAGACACCATACAAGGCCGAAGCCAAATAACTGGTCCTACGGACCTAAGGAACCCAAAAAATCAACAGTCTCCTATATAGATTTACAATTTCTCCCTATAACCCAACTAAAAAGAGAATTAATGATAACAAATTTCAAATTCCCAATGGAAGATTCCACGCCGTCGAAAGATCTTCTATTCCGCTCCTTCCAAATGCACCACCAGCTACAAAAGGGAACCGCCCACCAAAAATCACGAGGAGCATGGTCATTGTTGTTGCTACAACTTTCACAAGCCCTAAGATCCAATATCTCCACAAACATTTAGCTACAAAACTGAAAAAACTCTACCTTTTCCCTATAACAAATTTGGTGTCTTTCTTTTTTCCGGTAAAGAACAATTTGATGCCACAATTCCCAGGATAGTGTTATTCACACCCCTACATCATAGAAAGCCTGATGTCTTCCTCCCAACATCTTTAAACTCCAAGTCAAACAAGCACTCTAGGAACTTCGACCAAAACATATCAAATATAAACAACACTATTGCTCTCTGTGATATGTGATACAGCACCAGTCTATTCCTTATAGCTATTCCACATCACCCTGAACAACACGTTTGAGGTAATTTTCACAGCACCCTGAACCACCCTTAAACTTTTCCTATTCTTACCTAATACTACAAACCTTTACTTATTTTTACACTTATTCGATGTCTTTCTTTTTTCTGGTACGGAACAATTTTGATGTCACAATCCCCAGGATAGTGTTATTCACATTCCTGCATCATAGAAAGCCTGATGTCTTCCTCCCAACATTTTTAAACTCCGAGTCAAAGTTCAAACAAGCAATCTAGGAGCTTAGACCGCAGCATATCAAATATCATCATCATCCTTGCCTTAATCACATTGAATGAGGTCGGGGACGTGAATTCTCTTTTTCCATTCCTTTTTACTACAAGCCATCTCTCCTACAATATTTAGCTTTTTAAAATCATTTTTAGTTAAAACATCCCATGTTAATTTCAGTTTCCCTCTCTGTCTCTCACCCTCAATACAAATTAGTCTCCCTCTTGTTAATGGTGCAACTATAGGTCTTCATTTTTATATGACCATACCACCCACCCATAAGGGTTGTAGCAAACATAGAGAGTGGGTGAACAAGAAGTGAAGAAAAGATGAAACCAAAATAGCTATCAGAGAACATTTCACAATCATCCAAGTAGATTTGTTTACACTTCACTTGATCTACGATTAAATTTTATCTATCTTAAGACTACTGCATGAATCAAACTCTACACAGTTATCATTAGATTTAAATTAAAATTAGTGTATTGAAGATTATAGTTTAAATTATGGAAAAAAAAGAATAATTATAGTTTAATGTTTGCTACATTATATATATCTTTTGTCTTCATATATTCATATTTGTAAATATATTACCCATGTATAGGATATATATATACATAAGTACACATAGTGGGCATATAACACTTGATAGAATCCACCCTCATCTGGCAGTGAGAACCAAATATGAGAATTCAATAGCCACATACACATATAGGAGTGTATGAGAGTGTTTGTGTGCATATATATATATATATATATGGTAGAGAGAGCTCTTGATTCAGATATGAGAAAAATTTATAGTTTTTTTTTTTTTATAAGTAAAATGTATTAGAAGGCATTCAAAAGGGGAACGCGTCCCAAGCTATACAAAAAAAACTGACCCTATGATCTCAAGGAGCCCAAAAAGTCCACAATATCCTCAATCGAGGAAAAATCTCTCCCCCAACCCCAACAAAAAAAAGTACAAATAATAGAGAATTTCAACACCCTAATGGAGTACTCCTTCCCATCAAAAGATCTTCTATTCCACTCTTTCCAAATGCTCCACCAAACACAAAAAGGGGTTACCCTCCAGAAAACTCTTGCCTGAGCCCCCACCCATTGGCCCCTCCAAATATCCAGCAATTCCCGAGATGTCCGAGGCATGAGCCAATGAATACCAAACAAATCAAAAATAAGACTCCAACAATCATGAGCCACAGGACAATGCAGCAGTAGGTAATCCACTGACTCCCCATTCAACTTACAAAGACAACACCGATTAACAATAATATGTCTTCGCTTCCTCAAATTATCCAAAGTCAAAATCTTACTCCAAGCTGCAGTCCACACAAAAAAGGCCACCCTAAGAGGCACCGTCAACACCAATGCCCTCCACCTCCTGTCTGTACAAGAAAGCTAACAAGCCAGTGACATCATCCAACTCCCAATCCTGAAAAGATCGCCGGAATTGCACATCCCAAGATAACCTCCCGCTATCAAGGCGATAGCAGTTAGCAACCATAGCATGTTCGTCAACAGCAATCCTGAACAGCCTTGGAAACAAAAGAGCCAAAGGCCTATCCGCACACCAGGGATCCTCCCAAAACCGGACAAACCTTCCATCCCGAACTTTGAATCTAACATGTTTGGAAAACTCGTCCCATCCTTTTCCAATGGCCCTCCACACCCCTACTCCACTAGCAGACCTGACTGGCCTAGCTGACCACCCCCCTCTCTCCTCCCCAAAGCGACAAGAAATAAGCCTTCTCCATAATCTATGCCTTTCACTGCCGAATCTCCAAAGCCACTTACCGAGGAGAGCATTGTTAAAAGGGGCCAATCTCCTAATCCCAAGCCCGCCCAACTGAAATGGCCTGTAAACCTGCTCCCATCTGACAAGATGATACTTAAACTCCTCTCCACGACCTCTCCCCCCCCCAACCCAAAAAAGGAAGTTGCGTTGGAGCATCTCAAGACGTCCAACAACTGAGGTTGGAACTCGAAAGAGCGAAAGAAAATACGTTGGGAGGCTTGACAAGATGCTTTTCACTAACGTAACTTTACCACCCTTAGAGAGAGATTGCTTTTTCCAACCAGCTAATCTTCTCTCGACCCTCTTAATCACCGGGTCCCAACTTCCCACCCTCCTGGCCGAGTCCACCAGCGGCAAACCTAAATACGAGATAGGGAAACGTTGTATCCCACACCCTAAAATAGCAGCCAGAGTGTCCACCTCCTGAAACTCCCCCACAGGTATAAGCACACTCTTGCCCACGTTGACTTTCAAACCAGAGACAGCCTGAAAGCAAACCAAGACACATCTTAGATACCTCAACTGGGACACCTCTGCCTCGCAAAAAACAATAGTGTCATCCGCAAAGAGCAAGTGAGAAATCTCTATCTGCTGAACGGAGTCGGCGCTGATCTTGAAGCCCCTGATAAAACCCAAGTCCACCGCCCTTCTCATCAACCTACTAAGAGCCTCCATAACAATAATAAAAAGGAACAGGGAGAGAGGGTCCCCCTGCCTCAGACCACGAGAACTGCCGAAAAACCCCGCGGGAGACCCATTCACCAACACCGAAAATCTGACAGTGGAAACACATGAAACAATTCATTTCTTCCATCTCTCACCAAAGCCCATCCTCTCCACCAGGTAGAACAGGAAATTCCAGCAGACATGATCATAGACTTTCTCGATATCCAGCTTACAAAGAACACCAGGAGCCCCACTACACAATCTAGAATCCACACATTCACTGGCAATAAGAGCGGAATCTAGGATCTGTCTACCCCCAATGAAAGCATTCTGAGACTCAGAGATAACTCCATCCAAAACCTCCCTCAATCGAAATGCAAGGACTTTTGCGATGAACTTGTAAATGCACCCAATCAGACTGATTGGTCGAAAATCCTTAATGTGAGAAGCACCACCCTTCTTAGGAATAAGGGCAATAAAAGATGCGTTCAATGATTTCTCAAACCGCCCCGTGGAATGAAACTCATGAAAAGTGCCCATAACCTCGTACCGGACCACCTCCCAGCTCTCCAACAGAAATCTCATAATAAAGCCGTTCGGGCCTGGAGCCTTATCACCATTACAGCTCTTAAGAGCCTTCAGCACCTCTTCCTCCGAAAAAGGATTTTCCAACCCATCTATCCAATGCAGAAATAGAATCAAAGCGAAGATCATCAAGACGTGGCCTTCATCGAAGAGGCTCAGAATAAAGCTTCTGGTAGAAAGAGACAATACCGCTACGCACCTCCTCCTCCGTAGTCAAAACCGCACCATCCACACACATCCGCCCAATGTGATTATTCCTCCTATGAGCATTAGCGGTTCTATGAAAAACTTGGTATTCCGGTCTCCCTCTTTGAGCCATAAGGCCCGAGATTTCTGACGCCACGAAATTTCCTCCAAAACTACAATCTCCACACATTCTGCCTGACAAGCTGCTCTCCTACTGTGTTGGGATTCAGAAAGAACACCCTCCCCTTCAAGTCTATCAATCTCAGTAATATCAGCCAAAGCCCTATTCTTTCTCCACCCCAAACTCCCAAAAACCTCCTTTTTCCACCTTTTGAGATTACTTATCAGAATACGAAGCTTTCCTGCAAGAATAAAACTCGATATACACACCACCAGGTTCTCCTCCCACCACGAATGCACAAGACCCTGGAAGTTATCCGCACGAAGCCACATATTCTCAAACACCTCTTTAAAATTGTTGAAAAAGAGGAGAGCTTGGAGGTTAAAGATGAATATGGGCATTTCCAATGACAACTTCACGTTGAGTCGTACTAGTGGGGCTGCACCATCCTTCTAGCAAAACATTCAAGTCTGGTTGTGTGCTACTGTAGGGAGCATTTGATCCATGCATTACCTAAATAATTAATTAGTTATGCATAGTATACCATTAATGTTTTTGTTTTTCCATTATAATTGGTGGGGGGTGTGGTTTTCATTTTACACTTGTGATTGTGCGGGAACAGGGACAGATCCAGGATTTTTGAGTTGGGGGGGCCAAAATACAACTATGCAATTTTTGGAAATAAATTGTAGTATAAATATAGTTTTTAAAATTTTAGTCTTAGTATATATATTGTGGAAAATATAATTAAAAAAAAATATATGAGAAAAACGAATCCTAAATAAATTTAGATGGAAAATTGATATGAGAAAGAATAAGATATAGAGAAAAGGAAACAATAAGGTACATGTAAAATGAGAAGTGGCAAAAAAAATTTTAATTTTTTTTTTTAATTCCTGGTGCAATTGTTTAAATTTTAAATAAAATAAAAAATAAAAAAAATTGAGTTCTTTTATTCCACTTTGGGAAAGATACTTATCAAAAAATAAATAAAAATTCCACTTTGGGAAAGATATTTCATTATTAACTTGACGAAACATTAATAAAAGAATGTGTACCATTTTAAATATAAAAAAAAAAATTAAAAAAAAAAAATCTCCCAAGCTTTAGTAAAATATGATAATTATGAACAATATAGAGAAATACTAAAGAATAGCTATAGAATTTGTCATTTAAAACTAAAAATATTAGCATATATGAATATAAAATATCATTGTTATTATTGGCATTTTTGCTATCTTAGTATGACAAAACTTTACTTTTCCTTATTCTGATTCTCCAAAGACTTCTCCGTGGAGATAAGTATATAATTTTAGATATTTTCCTTGTTAACACCATCTAAAAAATATGTCTGTCAATAAAGGTTCATGTATCTATATTATTAAAAATCGTATAAAAATAATATTATACATGTGTACATTTATGCAAATGTAAATGCGGTAATGATATGTTATAGGAACTATCACAATAATGGAATAACACTTTTGTTTTAGATGATTTGGACTTCACAAGTAAACCTAAAAAGGTTTAATTCAAAAGTATATAAGTTGTAATTATTTCCAAAGTCACTATAATTGAGGCCAGAAAATAACTCTTTAGAAAGAAAAAAAATGAGAGGCCAATTGAATATTTTTATGGGTTTATTTACAAAATAACAATTTTAAAGGAGTATATAAACAATTTTTCAAAATTTTAGGGGGGGCCAAGTGGGGTTTATTATATAAAATAACAATTTTAGAGGGAATAAAAAAATTTTGGGCCCCCCCTCTCTCCCTCCGCCCCTGTGCGGGCATTCACTCATGATCATCTATTTTTTCAACTTGCAATACATATTCATAATATATATTGTAACAAATAATCAACCCACCTGCTAGCCAAATCGCCTGTAAACCACATGCATTAGTCAAACCCAGGCCTCACATTCGGTGAAACTTGAACCAGAGACTTAAGGGAGGTACCCTCAAAGGCTTTACTAACCAAGCTGTCGTGCTTATTGTAGATCTTATAACTGAGTTAAATTGATAAATTAATATTTGAATCAAGAAAACTTGTGAAACTTATTGATAATTAATTAATTATTGAACTTACTTAATAATTGTGATACATAAAAATTTTGTTATGCAAAATTTGTAAATTGGTAGTTCTGTTATAAAAAAAAAAATCTTCCAGTAAATTTGCTAAATGATACTCTCCAAAGCAAATTTCTTGGATAATAAATTTTTCGGGTAAACTAATAAATTAATAACCTAGTCTAAGGATAGGGATATTTTTCAACTGGGTTGTCTAGTTCCTTACACTATTTGAAATTTTTTTCAGTTTAAAAAGAAATTGTTGCTACAACATTCCAATTTTCAGATTATTTCATGATTCAAAATTTTCTTGTTCCTATAAGACCGTTGTTGATGTAATTCAAGATTTTAAATTTATATGTGATTGTATGATTTGAACGAAATTAGTACAAACAAGATGTAGAACCAATAAATATATAACGATTTAACCTTGATACTTCGAACCATGTGTGCCAATAAAATTTTCGAATTGGCAAGAAAGATCATACATTTAAAGCTCATATACAAATAAGGGGGGAATTTTTGTGAAAGAGAAGAAGAATAAGACATACAGAATCAATAACGTTAATGGCTTCCTGAGAGGCTTGGTGTTCCCTTCCACCATCACAAGTTATGAAGAAGCCCTGAATTCCTGGGTGTAATGGGTACAAACCCTTCTTCTTCACTGGTTTCTGAAAAATAGCAAAGAACGAAGTAAAGCATTAGCAAATAAAATCAAGCACATATATAGATAGAAACATACATATATATATATATATAGAGAGAGAGAGAGAGAGTGGACGTTGTGTGGAAGATATCGTTGCTTCCTCTTCTTGCTGTTGCCGTCGCTAGGCTTTGATTTGTTTACAGTAGCCATGAGAGAGAGACAGAGAGAGAGGTAGAGTACAGAGTCTACAGTTGCAGATCGTGCCCCGGGAGGAAAGAGAAACGGTTATAGGGCTGCAACGTGGACTGGGTTGAGTAGGATTAAAGGCCAATTCAAGCCCACAAGATTTGTCCATAGGCTTAGCCCGGCCCAATTAAGAAGATGGTACTGTTACTTCAACGACAAATGTTTCAACTTCCTTTTATCACAGGGGTGCAACTTGGGTCGGGCAACTCAAACCTAACTCGAGCCTAGCCCAATTTTTCACAAGTTTAAGCAATCATTTTTATAATTAGGATCAGGTCTAGGTTGAAAAATCTTAACCCGAACTTAAATAGGGTTGAGGTGTTAGCAACCCGAGTCCGAAATTTAATATTATTTTTATATATATTTTAACTTTAATTGTATTATATATGCTCTTCAAATTATGATAGCCTTTTTCTTTTCAGCTACCTTTGGTAAATCTTAATTTATTATATTAGCATTTAGTATAATTACTTTTATAAGCATTTGTTGGTAATTTATTAAAAATTTGCAATAAGTTTTTAAGTCTTTTTTTATTTAAGACTAATTTAATCAAATTGGCCATATGAGTAACCCGAATTTCGAACTCGAAATCTAAGCCCGAGTTTAAAACTAGAAAGATGGGCTAAGCTCAAGTTAAATAGTTAGGGTTGAACTTGGGTTAAACATTTCATATGTCGGACTGGGCTCAAGCTAGACCTTCAACCTTCCCAACCTGTCTAAGTTGTAGCCCTACTTTATCATAACTCTCATGTCCAATTGTAAGACCACATGCATCTAATTTTTTTTTCTAGACCTGCAATATCAAGAACCTCCTGCACTAGCCCTAACCCTTATTCTCATCTCCAATTGAAGAATATGATTGTTATCGACCAAAAGCAAGTATCAAAGAAGAGAATTTAAGAATTCTTGCTAAGAGGAAATAATTAATTCTTGAATATTGAAGGGTTAATTAATAATTCCAATAGTGTAAAGGTTCATTTTTAGCTTCATTTTTTTATTGATAATATGATGATTTGATAATTACTTTAATTTTATTACTTCTTTCAATTTGGGCTTACTCCTTCTATCAAATGATAATATTATAGCAGTTTTCTTTAATAAAAGTGTTGATACAAGGATGGATGCAATGGTAGAGCTGATTGAATTACTCACTCAATAAGTGTTGATTGAAGGGGCAAAAGAATTGAGACACAGTTTGGTTGAAAAGAAATGGGACAAAAAGAAAAAAAAATAATTGAGGGAAATATATATTAAATTTTAGAAGGAAAAGAAATGGAATGGAGGGATACAAGTTAGGAATGATTATTAATTTTATTCCTTAATAAAAAAAATAAAATAAAAATAAAAAAAGAGGTTAGATTTAAAGAAGGGGCTAGTTAGGGAAGTTGTAGAACATGTCTTGATCTACAAGATGATGTGATTTTGGAAGCCATTAAAGCATCTTGGATTTTCAACCTAGGCATGGTTTTGGGCTTTTGGGGTGGCTTCAAGAGGAAAAGTTGTTCCCCTCATCTACCTCTTCATTTTGGTAGCCCTAACCTTCAAATTGGCGGAGTTTCAAGTGGAGCCAAGTTTTGGGTTTTGCTCTTCAAGGGGTAGGGATTTCTAATACATTGAACTTTGTCTTTCATTGAGTATCTCTATTTGATTATTCTTTAAATTCATTCTTGAATGCCAATTTGCGAGTAAATTGATAGTTTAATGATTTTATGTTAAAAACATGCTTGAAATTGATGAAAATGGAGATATTCTATGTTAATGAAATCCATGTTGTTACCAACGTGTAAAGGTGGTTGATTTGTGAATACTAACATGATTGTAATGAAGAAACTCTAATGATGAGCATGCTTATGTTTAATTTCTTGTAATTATCATGCCTATACCATGATTGTGATAGAAATAAAATTGAAGTAAATGAATATTTTGATCCATATGCATGGTATGATAAAATGAAAAGGTTGAATGGGAAAGTTGAATTAGTAAAGGTTGAAAGGGTTATGAAATGGATTTTGTAAAAGAATCGGATTTCGCAAGTCTGGTGCTAACTTGACTTAAAGGAAGCGTATGCCAGTTATAGGACGTGTAACATTGATTACTAGACCCCAAAAGGCCATCGGATTTAAGGCCAGGGATAGCTAATCGATCTCGTCTTAGTAAAGTAGGTTAGCGGGTTTTCGGTGTGAGTTGGGTCGGTTTGGGGCCAAGGTTGGCATAGTTATCCATTGTTATAATGTTACCAAATTTTCCTATTTATTGGGACATGGATGAACTTTCAATGATTATAGATGGGCAAAAGAGTAACTAACCATAAAGTGTAATTCATTCACATGGTGACAAGTGGCAAGTTATTGATCACAAGGTCAGTTGTAAACCAAACTATTTCCTCTCTTCTTTCCTTCACCCGACCCGACAGAATACTCTTTCTTTCTCTAACTCTTCACTTTCTCACTCTATATCCATCTTTATGCACTAAATGTCTCCCACATTTTAAGCTTGTTTTTAGAGTGATTAAAGTGAGATTTTTATGAAGCCATAGGTGAGGAAGTTGATGAGTTGAGGAGAGCTTTTAATTGAGACCAATCTTGCAAGGGGCTAGGAATTTCAAATTTGGGGGCTGTTTTGAAGATCTTGCTTGGTTGAGGTAGGGGTTGTCCTAAACCTCAATTCCTTTGTGTTTCTTGTGAATTAACCTCCTTAGTTGAACCATTATATGACTAGAATTGAAATTTCCTTGCAAGCATGTCATGTAGTTAAATCTAAAATTTATAGTTTGTATATTAATGGTGTGTTGTGGTTTTTTTTCTTTTAAAAACTGAAATTTTTGCCCTCTAAATATTGGTTATGTTTATGTGCATAGAACGAAAAATTCTAGTAATTACAATGGTTGGGTAATTGCGCTTATAAACTGAAATTCCTATGATAATTCACCTCAACCATGAAATTGTTTTGTTGTAAGCTTCTCGTTGTTATTGTGTTGTTGTTGTTGCAAGTCTGAAATTTTGTAGCTTACATGGGGATGACGTGTAATTTGTTTTAAACATTGAATTAGAGCTCTTCTTAATGTCGGTTGTGTTTATGTGTATAAAATTGAAATTCTAGTAACCATAATGGTTGTATTGTTGTTTATTAGATGCTGAAAATTTGATGTTTAGTTTACCTCACTTATGGGGTTGTTTTGTTCTAAGTTGGGTGTTGTTAATATTGTTTTTTTTAAAATAAAAAATAAAAAAACTGATTGGCACACTGTCCTTAAAGCATGCATGGTGGTTTTGATGTTGGGTGTTCTCTAAACTGGAAAAAAAAAATTAGTAATTACAACGATGGTGTTATAGTTTTATATGAAACTGAAATTTATACCTTATTTCTAAAAGCATGAATAAGACTCTTTTGTTGTAAAGATTGTGGTAGTTGTTGCTCGAAAACTGAACTGGGACCTTGACTTTAAAGCATGAATGATGGTGTTGTTGTGGGTTCAAAATTGCCATTTTAGTTTGTTATCAAGTACGACTTATAAAACTGAAATTTGATATTGGAAATGATATAACATTAAAAGATTATGAAGTGTGTTATTCATGCATTACATTGAGCATTACATGGGCAGAACAGATTTTTTTTAAAAGGAGAAGATTTTATTTTTGGAATGAAAGCAAAATCTGAAATTTAGGGAAAATGTTCAATAGAATTTTGGATAATGGGGAGAGACATTGGCACCTCATTAACATTGCATTTCGCTGCGTTTACGAGATCGTATTATGTGATGATTATTACTTCCCGAACAAGCATGACCCTTTTTCTTATCGTTATTCTTTGTTTGAATTCACGGAAGCGTTAAGGAGTGCGTTTTAGGCATCTTCTACTGAGCCATTGTGCTCACTCCTTACTATTATTTTTCAGGACACGGAAAGAAAGTGGCGAAAGACATTCCCCCACAGGTTTAGACAGGACTTAACGGACTTTTTTTTATGTTAATTTTCTGTTGTATATACAAGTTTTGTAAAACTTTAAAATTATTCTGTATCTCTTTCGTAAGCTTATATCTTGGGACTATAGCCGGATGTAATGTTTCATGTAAATGAACTTTTGGTTCTTCGTCTATGTGTGTGATCATGATATTACCATTATAGATGCATGTGGTGACTGTTGTTTAGCATGGCTCACAAATGAGTTTGGAAATTGCAGGACTTCAAAAATTTAGAATCCATATTTCAGTTTTTCAGATTTGGTATGATGTGTTCCCTCGTAGTTTAGAATTGGGAATGACTGTAGTGACAGTAGATGACCTCGGGTTCGAGTAAGGACCCGGATACGGTTCGGACCCCTGGGTTCGAGTCGTTACAAAAATGGTATCAGAGCATTTTCTTAGAATTTGGGGCGTGACAATTGCATTGCATTTCCATACTTTTTTTTTTTTTTTTTTTGGATGAGTGCATTACATTTCCATACATATTCATGATAAATTGTGTATGTGATATTATGAAGTTGAAATGTGATTTATATTCTATAAAATCCCTATCGTATGATCCCGGTTTCTTTTAAGCCTTTATATGTATTGCTTAACTCAAGTGAGTCCAAAGTTGGTGCTTTAAGCATCTCTTACTGAGCCTCCGTGTTCACCTATGATACCCCCTAATTTCGGAACACGGGTTAATCTATTCCGCACACAAAATTAAGAATTATCATGACAATTAAAATATTTCAAACAAGCACAGAGTACAAAAAGAAAATAAAAAGAATAAATAACTCGCAGAAGGAAAATCTATTAAATAATAAATCCATTAATAATTCTCCAATGGTTATTATAATACCCCTAATTTTAAAAGAATAGTCTCGATATTTAGTTATTTGTTTTAATTATATTTTTAATTATTTAATTGATTATTTGACTAATTACTTATGTGTTTAATTAAATTAAATTTTATTTGATTTTTTGGATTATGTGTCTATGTATTATTTGTATTTGTCTATGTATTAATTGTTTAATTAGATTATGTGCTTAAATGGTGTTTTGATTAATTGTAAATTAAATATTT